TTGTGATTTCCCCGAAGCTTACAATGCCATGGTAGGTTCTAATATTTACCATGGCTCTTCCTTAGAACAAGACCTGGGCAAAACAACCATACTTGAACCAACTAGGGATATTGAGACAACAACAAAGGGAAGTACCACAACCACAAATGTGCAAGATATCAATGAGACAAAAGGGATGATCAGGTTCAGATGACATGTGTAGAGGGATTGGTGGGTGCTATGGACTCATCCGATCAGATTGAAGCAGAAATGGTCCAAAGCCATAGTTCCAATGGGTTGGGTAAGTCTTCTTCCCATAATGTTAGTGCTATCTCTACACCCTAGAGTGGTTTATTTAAATCTGAGATTGCTAAGAAGAAAGTAATTAAAAGCCTCAAGGGATACTCGGTGGTTTATGAGAACGATCCACTTCAAATCCCATTGGAAATCTCTAAGATTGGGTTTAAGCAATGGGAACATGCTCTTGTGGGTTATTTTATTGATAGAAAATTGTCTTTCTTCCAAGTGAAGACTTGGACTTACAAGTTATGGAAGGAAAATCTTGAAGAGGTTGTAACCTTAGATAATGGCTACTTTGTATTCAAGATGAAAAATGAAGAAGCTTTAAAGTCCATTCTTGATGAGGGGCCTTATTATATTGGGAGCAAATTGATTGTTATTAAGAAATGGCACCCCAGTATGACTCTTACTAAAAATGTCTTCTCAAGTGTACCGATATGGGTAAAAATTTTCAATGTGCTACTTGAACTTTGGACTGAGGAGGAATTGAGTTACATAGCAAGTTTTATCAATAATCCATTGTACCTTGATGAATTTACTCAAAACCATAGCCGGTTAACATTTGCTAGAATTTGTATTGAGATAAAAGCTACTAAAGAGATTCCATCCTCCTTTGTTGTAAACTTAGGATATGGAGAACCGTTTGAAATCAAAGTAGAAGTTCCTTGGAAACCCCAAGTGTGTGGAGAATGCAAAATATTTGGTATGCTACAAGTTTGTGTCCAAGTAAACCGATAACTCAAGCTCCTAGTAAACTCAAACAAGAGTGGAAGGCCAAAGAAGTGGTCGAGACGAAGGAGGAAGGCAAGCTAGGTGAATGGGTTGAAGTGAAAAAGAAAAAAGGCAAGGACGTCGTTAATGATCCTATGGAAAACTTTGTTCCTACACCTCCTCCATCTTCGTCGAATGCATTTGATATTCTCAATACTTGTGTAGCCAATGAGGAGGTTTCTTTTTGTGTGGATCTTAAGAGCGTGCTTAATGCGAATTGCTCCTCTTTGAAAGTGAGTAACCCCTCAAAAGATATTCCGAATGAAGAGGCTTCAAAGGAAGAGAAAGAAATTGCTAGGGATGTGGGTAACATAAATGTGTTAGCCCCTAGGCAATCTTCACTTTCCAAAGGAGCTCCTCAATCCCTTTCAAATGGAACATTCGTTGTTCCATGGACAAACCCATCTTCAAAAGTGGAAAACAAGAAAAAGCTCCTTGAAAGAATTGCTAATCTTAAAATTGCTCAAGAGGTTAGCCTCTCTATCAAGTCTAAGAAATCAAGTCGTAAGACCCCCCATGGTCGGGGTGGGAGAGGGTTCCTAAATATCTGAATGCACAAGAGCAAACGGAGCAGTAGAAATAGAATTACTTTTATTAAAAGGTAATGCAGGCTGTTTAGTAATTTGACAAGGTAAACAATCAACATTTTCAAAACTAACACAACCTAACCAGCCACTAGAAACCAAAGTTTTTAAACGACTAAAAGAGACATTTCCTAAATGACAATGCCAAAGGTGAAAAGAAGACATAAAAATAGAAGCAGCAGAAGAGGCAACAGAAGCAGTAGTGGATGATATAGATGGAATGCGAAGATACAGAAGCTCGAATAGACGTCCATGCCTACGGCCTATCCCAAGGATCTGTTTTGTCTAAGGGTCTTGCACCAAACAACCATTAGCAAAAAAAAGTGACAATGAGACCAAGTTCACACAATTGACCAATAAAAATTAGGTTTAATTTAAGAGCAGGAGTATAATAAACATTAGAAAGAGATACAGTGGAAGTAGAAATTTGACCAATGTGACTAACAGACATATGAGAACCATCAGCAGTATGTATAGGGGGAACAAAAGAGGATGATGAGATAGAAGAAAATATAGTAGAATCAAAGGTCATATGATTACAGCAGGCGGAATCAAAATACCATAAAGGATTACCTTATGTGACTGAAAGAGCAGGAGAAGGAAGAGTATCGAATTTGGCAAGCACCTGCTAGATAATGGACTCAACACCATCCATAGAAAATGATGGAGCAATAGGATCAGTAGAGTGATGAGTGCAAGGGCTCTAATGTAGTAACAGCAGCAGCAGTATGAGCAACAGGAGCAGATTTGGACTAACGTCCAGAACATGAAGGCCCTTTCCTGGATGAAGAAACAGGGAAAGCTTGAGGACAATTGCTTTAGAAATAACCTGGAGTAGTCTTGTGGCAAGTCAAGCATTCACAAACTTGGCACTGAAGTAAAGAATGATTGGCAATTAGGCCACAATTGCGACAATAAATGCATGAACTAGAAGGCTGTGAAGAAAAAAAAAACCCTGTGATGATGGTGTAGCAAGAATAGAATCCAAGTTTTGAGTTTTGAAAATCCCAAAACAAGTTTCTTCTAACAAGAGTTCAGTAATGGCTTGCTCCAAAGTCGGTAAGGACAAACGATGGAACAAGGAAGCACGCACAGGTTCAAAGTGCTATGAAGAGCCATAAGAAGTTGCAATAGCCGCTGATGATTCCTATCAACAATAAATAATTGTGCATTCTCAAAATGTGCCCAAGTAGGTTTAGAAAAAGCCAACTGGTCCCAGATAGATAACATCTGGGGTAAAAAATCATTGATGGCACACATGTGATGAAGAGTTTGTAGAAGTTGATATTGGTGAGCATGTCCAGTAGTCTGATAGCGGTCCTTCAAGAAATCCCAAATTGCCTTGGCAAGAGAGATAATGGAATCATCATCCTGAAAGCGTCCAAACTGAAGGTTAATGGAAGGAACAGAAGTAGCCCAAAACCATGTGATAATCTAGTAGTTCTTCTCTTCCCATTCATCAAGACGCTCATCGAAAGCAGATGCAATCTCTTTTTCTTCCTGGATGGGTTTAGAAAGAGCACCAGTGATAATACGCCAAAGCTGCTTCCCTTTTATGAATCTAGAGAGAGCTTGGGCCCAGAGAACATAGTTGGACCCATCAAGTGTAACAGAGACGGAATGGATGTTGTCAAAATGATCCATGATGCTCAAACAGGGCCCCAAAAAAAAAAAGGTGCTTTATAGAGGCTAATTTTGCCAAAACAAAACACACCGGCAGATTCAAGAGGCCGAAAACAATTGGGATATGGTCTGAACAGGCCAAAAACACGACCAGAAAGGCAGTAAATCAGTTGGTCAAAATGGTTTGACCAATTTGGTCAACTAGGGCTGATGTCACAGCAAGATGGATGCGCACATTAGCAAAGATGCGCGCGGCGCACGATAGCAAGTGGAGCAGCAACGACGCACGAAACCAAGGCTAACATCAAAAACACGCGGCTCACATTAGCAGATGAGGCCGCGGTGCACAATAGCGCAAGACAATATAGCAAAAGGCACGTAGGGCGAGTAAGAAAATGGCACAACGCGTGGCCCTTTCTCTCTCTCTTTCTCCTTCGACGTTGGGGCTTCGATCTGGCTCCGATCCATCCCCTTCCGTCCTCTCACTCTACAACTTTCTTTCTTCTCATTTTTCTCTCCCTCTCTACACATACATACATGTATGTATGTAAGCGAATTCATGTGTCTGAAAGTGAAAATTTTACAATACAAAAACTCTTCAAGTTGGATTTTTTATTTAATTTTTCTTGATTATTCTAATGAATGAATCACAAAACTAAAATTTTTAATTTTTGATTAATTTTTCTTGAGGATTCTGATAAGTGAATCACAAAACTGAAAATATTCATGGCTATTTCAATTCAAACCTTAGGATTAGAAAAGACCCAAAATCATAGTCAAGGAGAGAATCTGGACAAAACTCAAAAATCATGCTTTTGTAGAGAGAATTAGAGGAGATATGGGGTTGTTTGTGTAGTGTTGAGAGGAAGAGAAAGTTGTTGGGGTTGTGGAAACAACTAGGGTGGGTTTGATAGTTTTTAGAGGAGGAAAAAAGAGCAGATCTGCCACCTCGCTATTGCCGCCAGTGTTGTCATGTCGTCTCCGTCGCCGTCACCTCACCATCATCACCCTCCTCCTTTGTTCTTGCGCTTGGACTCGTCGGGTAGGTTAGAGTTTTACCACTGAGAGAGAAGAAAAGAGGGAAACAAAAACAAAAACAAAAAAAGATCAAAACGACGTCATTTGGCACCATGGCAAGAAATATCGCAGGATAGAATGGCAGAGGATCCAGACTCCTTATTCGCGCCTGCGAAATAAATTGTCGCGCCCGCAATTTGCGACTCCAAAAATCAAACTCTCAGTATCTTTCTCTGCATCCCGTCAACGTGCCAACTCGCATTTCAATGCACAAAATTAGGATTAAAAATCCTAACACTATCTAATTAAAAATGCTAAAAACAATCCTTATGACTCTGAAAATATATTAAAATATATATGTATATCATAATTATAAATATTTTAACTTCATGTATTTATTATTTCATTTGGAAATTAACTAATTAACTCAGAGTTCCCTCCCCCCTCCATGTTTGCGTTTTTTTTCTGTGCCACAGTTGAGTGATTTCCCTTTTTTGAAATGGTAATCATGAAAGTAAACAAGAAATTATCAATGACATTATCCGCTGATCATTTAAATACATTAACATGTTGGGTTATTTTTGGTAATTGGTCAAAATAGTCACACACACAAAAAAAAAAATAAAAAAAAAAAAATAAATCAACAAAAATAACCAATTCCCAAAATAGGAAGCAAATGCGCATGCAAGACCAATGTCTCTGTTTTTACTCTTTAGTTTCTTCCAGTTAGGGCAGGAGGAAAAACTTCAGTTCACAAAACTTTTGCAAGCAATCTCCACAACCCAAAAAGTTGATCAAAATCTTAATAGTTCTTGCTTGTGCAAACACAGCAAAAAACTAGAACAAAAAGCAAGAAACTTCACCATACTTTAAACAAATAGCAACAAACTATGGCAATTAAAATAGCCATCATAGCAAGCTCAGCTTTCTTAGCTTGTTGAGAATAGAGATCCTGCATAGCTACAACCAAAACAAAACTCTCATTATATGTAGAAGGACCAAGAACTGTAGCCTCTGCACATCGGTGTCATTAGGATTCTAAGTCAGATCTTTCAAAAGAATTTCTTTCTTTTACTCATAAATTTTCCAAAAGACCCAACATATCACATTTTCTAAGCGTTCAGATAAGATATCTACACTCCAAAAATAATTACTCTGGCCAAACCACTCCTACCATGGTGGCACAATAGCCATCATTTGATGGACGGGTGTGTATTTAAGGATTAAGAGTCATGAAGTCCATGAGGCACAGTTGCCACATCCATTCTGTCTAGGAGAATAAAAGGGACCAAGAATTATACATGGCTCTATCGTCACTTGCCAATCAACTTTAGAATATGAATCATCACAACACAAGAAGTTGGTTCCCATTGCTTCCAAAAGTATCATATTAATCTTAAATTATTCTATTGATGACTCATTTGTTCCACAATTTGCATGCCTAATCCAAATCAAGGTGTCTATGTTTGGCAAGAATACCTTGTTTGTTACATGAAATGCAACAAAACTAAAGTGACCCACCCCAAGAATCATCACAATCACAAACCTCCTTTTTTTTCTTTTTCTATTGCAAAATGTATGAATTATTATATGACATTCATCTACCAAATAGCTATGGCAAACAAGGGACTGAGAGATACACACCATTTCTGCAACAAACTCGAATATAATCAAAGATGCAAGTGTTTTTTTTTCCCCAAACATATACAATTTCAGTAGGACGCCTCATTCATCAGTTCAACCCTTTGGTCTCAATGTTTTCATCGTTTAAAATATGTAGGTGGAGATAGTTAGTACAGAATCAGAGAGAGTAGACCAACCAAATCTTTCAATTGAAAACAAGAATAAACTATATCTTGACATGATAAGCACATACAAAACCTAATGCAGTACATAATTTAAACTCAGAATAACACATAATTATCTTGATTTGAAGATAGGTACCTTCAAGTTTTTCCCTTTTGCAACATCCCTTAGAGAAACCAAGCTTGGAACATGAGCAATCCCATGGAAGTCTGATCTTTTCCTAATTCCAGAAATTTTGACATTCTTATGATGTCGGGTCTTAGGATCATAAAGCACAAGAGCCTCCCTATTAACTAAAATCAAGAGTTGCCCACTTTGCAGAATTATTATCGGCTTGTAACAGTTCAAGTAATCCCAATCATAGATCACACCTTTAATAACAATGTATTTACTCCAAGACTCCTTGACCCCATAATCCTTCATCACCCATATTGAACCCTGATCTTTGACAGTAGCAAAATCACATATAGTGAGGCAACCTCGTAGCACTCCGACACGCATTTGACATGAAAATTCTTTCAAAAGTGGATCAAATTCAGAAGGTTCGAGAACAACCCGAAATTGCTCACTCCCAAAGTCAAAACAAAAAATAAAGTCCGGATTATTAACGTCGAAAAGAAGCCAATGAAGAGCACCATTGAGGAACGCATCAAAGGAGTCTGCCATGCCCCAAGCTCCGTGACAACGCCGCACACTCATTTAAGTGAGCATGTAAGGCTAAGAGTCCAACACATAACCAACAATGTAAAATATTCCAATTAAATCCTTAATTGTCATAATGCTAAAATCCATAAAAATTGATTATTCTTATCATATGAAATTATCCACCAAGTCCACTAATAAAATCCATTAATAAAACAATATTCCAAGTACTTAAATCATAGTCCTACTCTCGGCACTCCCACATATAAAAATAATCTCGCGCAACTCTACTCTTCAGAATCTGAAAAAAATAAAATAAGGGTAAGCTAAATAGCCCAATAAATAACCAACCATCACTGCTAGCTGGATCAAGTATACAAAAATAAATAAATAAATCGATAACCAATAAATATAATTTTTTTCTACAGTTCAATAAATGAACAATTGTTTGTAAGATAGTTTCATAGCTAAAAATAAACGATGTACAATATATTTTAATTGAAAAGCTAACAAGATAATTCAAAGTAAATTCGTTGTTCAAATCGATGGTTCAATATTCAGATGGTTCAATGATTTGATTCACAAAACCCAAGTCTTAATGACTACGGTCACTTAGCCCGTGACAAGGCCCAAAACCATACATAGGCCGGTGGTAAAGCCCCAAAAGAAACTAGTTTCTGTGCCAATAAATAACCCCCATTGGCTAGGGTCTAAATCATAGTCAGACTAGAGTGATGTTCAAAATTCAAACAATACACAAATTTTAAATAAAACATTCGATATTTTCAGAATAAACGTTCAGTACAATTTTCAGAATAGTTTCACCAAATATTCAAATAATTTTCATAATAATATTCAATGTTGTTTTATACTTGACCCATATTTTATTTTAAGAGAACATAAAAGCTATAAATAAATATTTATGATTTTAAACGATTCAATAGGAATAAAAATGTATCAACAATGATAGAGGGTTACTTACATCAAACGCTTAAAAACAATATTCCAACACTAACTCCAAACACTCAACTCCACCACTTTAATCACACAAACCTAATAAACAAAACCTCAAATAAATTAATATTTTTACATGTTACATACACCCACAAAAGCCCCACCATATTAGATTAATGTATTGCTTTAATATCCAAGTGATCAAACCATTCAACCCAACTTTATAGCCAAACACACCCTTACCCATAATACAAAACTCCATTGATTCTATTACCCACCCAAAGGTACACTTACACATTGCACCCAATTCTCAAAACCTAAGTAGGCACCTAAAGATCTTCCAAATCCCCTTAATGCATTGATTGTTAAATTCCTCAACATAAACTTAACAATTAACAGTAAAGACAGTTTTTACCTTAACCAATGGGTGTCCCAAAATCACCAACGTGCTGCCTCCAATCCCTATTGCAGCCTCACTTGAACCTCTCTTCTCTTTTTCTTCTCTTTTTTCTTTTACCTTCTCAAACCCTAGCCGCCTATAGAGCAATTCCCAGCCTCTATTTTGTTTGTTTCCCAAGACTTAAAGCCATAATATATAGGTGGGCTTATTAACCTAATTTCTCCAAGTTACAAAATTACCCATCTAAGTAATAGAAAATATAATGCCATCTCATAACTAGTTCTTTGATATTAATAAATGACTCATATAAATTAATTTAATTACTAATCTATCCAATAAAATAATCCTACACACAACTTGGGTTTTACATTCTTCCCCTCTTGAAAGAAATTTCGTCCTCGAAATTTGACATACCTGTAGTCTCAAAAAGTTGTGGATACTTTTGTCTCATTTCATCCTCAAGTTCCCAAGTAGCTTCTCTCTCTAAGTGAATGCTCCATTAAACCTTAATGTAGTGGATGACCCGACGCCTTAAAACCTGCTCCTTCTTATCAACAATTCTTACAGGGTGTTCCTCATAGGTTAAATCCTCCTTAAACTGCAACGGTGCATGATCAATCACATGATTGGGATTCAGTATACACTTCCTCAACATCGAAACATGGAAGACACTATGAACTCCAACTAATGAAGGTGATAGGGCAAGTCTGCAAGCTACCTCTCCAATTCGATCTAAAACCTCAAATGGTCGAACAAATCTAGGACTTAATTTACCACGAACACCAAACCTCATTACTCTTTTCATAGGAGACACCTTAAGGAACACATGGTCTCCAACCCCAAACACCAAATCGCATCTCCTGTTATCTGCATAACTCTTCTGTCTACTCTGTGCAGTGTGCAGTGCGAAGTGGCTCTTTAATAAGATTGATCTTGTTCACTGTTTGTTGCACAATCTCAGGCCCTAACAACTTCCTTTCGTCCACATCATCCCAACAAATAGGTGATCTACACTGTCGTCCATATAAAGCCTCATATAGTGCCATATGAATGCTCGCATGATAACTATTATTATAAAAGAATTCCACGAAGGCCAAATGCTCATCCCAAGAACCTCCAAGATCAATAATGCAGGCCTTCAACATGTCTTCAAGAGTCTAAATAGTTCTCTTTGACTGTCCATTAGTTTGAGGATGAAAGGCCGTACTAAAATTCAAACTAGTACCCAAAGCTGTATGCAAACTCCTCCAAAACATAGATACAAATCTACTATCTCTATCAGACACTATGGTCACCGGAATACCATACAACTTCACAATCTCCTTGGTATACAATTTTGCAAACCTCTCTAAGGAGAACTCTACCTTAAAAGCTAGAAAGTGAGCGGATTTGGTCAATCAATCAACAATAACCCAAATAGCATTGTTACCACCTTGGGTCCTAGGCAATCCCGTCACAAAATCCATGGTAATATGTTCCCACTTCCACTCAAGAATAGGAAGAGGTTGTAACTTACCTGCAGGTCTCTGATGTTCAACTTTCACTTGTTGACATAGCTAACATTGAGCAACATACTGAGCAATTTCCCTGAACTGTGAGCTTCTCTCAGGATTTCTCTCTTGAGCTCTAAATCATTAGGCACACACAACCTCCCTCCAAATCTCAAGGTTCCATTTTTATGCATACAAAATTCCATCTGTAGCCCTATTTCCATTTCAGCCTTAAGTTTTTGCAACTGAGGATCTCTTCCTTGAGCGTCTTTAATTCTATTAATCAATATGGGTTGAACCCTAAGGTTTGCCAACTGCGCTCCATGGTTGCGCCATCTAATCTCAATATTCAACCTTCGCAAGTCCTCTAAGATATTCTTTTGGTCAGTGATCAAGGTAGCCAAATTACTTGGGGTCTTTTTACTCAAGGCATCAGCCACTGCATTGGCTTTTCCTGGACGATAATTGATAGTCAAATCATAATCCTTTAATAGCTCCAACCATCTCCTTTGCCTCATATTCAATTCTTTTTGAGTGAAAATATACTTCAGACTTTTATGATCAGTGAATATCTCACATTTCCCCCCATACAGGTAGTGCCTCCAGATTTTTAATGCAAACACCACTGCAGCCAACTCCAAAGCATGCGTAGGATAATTCTGCTCATATGGCTTCAATTGCCTAGACGCATATGCCACTACCTTATCATTATGCATCAGGACACAACCTAAACCCATCTTCGATGCATCACTATAGATGGTAAAACATTCATCTCCGGACGGAACTATAAGTATTGGAGCAGACACCAATCGATTCTTTAGATCCTGGAAACTCTTCACACAATCATCAGACCATTCAGATTTAACCCCTTTTTGTGTTAAACGAGTCAAAGGCATAGAAATTCGAGAAAATCCCTCAACAAACCTTCTATAATAACTTGTTAAACCCAAGAAGCTACGAATTTCAGTGACACTAGTAGGCCTATTCCACTCTACCACCACCTCCACTTTCTTGGGGTCAACAGACACCCCGTCTTTAGATATCACAAGACCCAAAAATGGTACACTCTCCATCCAAAATTCACATTTCTTTAATTTAGCAAATAATTTCTTCTCCCTTAATAACTGCAACACTATTCTCAGATGTTCTTCGTGCTACTCTTTACTCTTCAAGTACACAAGAATGTCATCAATAAAAACTACCACAAACTGGTCTAAGAAGGGTTTAAATACTATGTTCATTAAATCCATAAAAGCTGCAGGCGCATTGGTCAACCCAAACGACATCACTAAAAATTCATAATGCCCATATCTAGTTCAGAAGGCTGTCTTAGGTATATCTTCCGCTTTAACCTTTAACAGGTGGTAGCCAGAACGAAGGTCAATCTTAGAAAAGACTTGTGCTCCTTGCAACTGATCAAATAGGTCATTTATCCTTGGCAAATGATATTTATTTCGAATTGTCGCCTTGTTTAACTCTCTATAATAAATGCAAAGGCGAAAACTACCATCCTTCTTTTTCACAAATAAAACGGGCACACCCAAAGGAGAAACACTAGGCCTAATAAAGCCCTTATCTAGTAATTCTTGTAATTGTTCCTTCAACTCTTTCAACTCTCCTGGGGCCATCCGATACGGAGCCTTGGAGATAGGACCCGTGCCAGGTATCAATTCGATGGCAAACTCAATCTCTCTATCCGGTGGCAACCCCGGTAAGTCGTCAGGAAAAACATCAGGAAATTCCTTTATAACTAGAATATCCTCTAACTTCAATTCAATCTCACGAAAATCTCTCACAGAAGCTAAATAACCCTCGCAACCATTCCTCAACAATCATCTAGCTTGCAAAGCTGAGATTACCAAAGGAGAAGTGTTAACTCCACTACCCACAAAACAAAATTCTAGTTGATCAGGAAACGGAAATACTACCCTTTTGTCTCGGCAATCAACAGAAGCAAAATTGGTTGCCAACCAATCCATTCCAAGAATTATGTCAAAGTCCTACATATCTAAAACAGTCAAGTCTACAAGCAATCTCCTGCTATCTATACTAACCACACGAGATTTGCCAATGTCTCCTCATGTTATATTGCAACCTATATGCATCAATAATAAAACCTCATTTTATTCTATTCTCAAGTCTCTATAACATGTAAATAAAATTAACATTATACTAAATTA